GGAGTAGAAGACTAAATAACGAAGAAGAAGGCAAAAAAAGAAGGAGTAGAAGACTAAATAACGAAGAAGAAGGCAAAAAAGAAGGAGTAGAAGACTAAATAACGAAGAAGAAGGCAAAAAAGAAGGAGTAGAAGACTAAATAACGAAGAAGAAGGCAAAAAGGAAGGAGTAGAAGACTAAATAATGAAGAAGAAGGCAAAAAAGAAGGAGTAGAAGACTAAATAACGAAGAAGAAGGCAAAAAAGAAGGAGTAGAAGACTAAATAACAAAGAAGAAGGCAAAAAAGAAGGAGTAGAAGACTAAATAACGAAGATGAAGGCAAAAAAGAAGGAGTAGAAGACTAAATAACGAAGAAGAAGGCAAAAAAGAAGGAGTAGAAGACTAAATAACGAAGAAGAAGGCAAAAAAGAAGGAGTAGAAGACTAAATAACGAAGAAGAAGGCAAAAAAGAAGGAGTAGAAGACTAAATAACGAAGAAGAAGGCAAAAAGAAGGAGTAGAAGACTAAATAACGAAGAAGAAGGCAAAAAAGAAGGAGTAGAAGACTAAATAACGAAGAAGAAGGCAAAAAAAGAAGGAGTAGAAGACTAAATAACGAAGAAGAAGGCAAAAAGGAAGGAGTAGAAGACTAAATAATGAAGAAGAAGGCAAAAAAGAAGGAGTAGAAGACTAAATAACGAAGAAGAAGGCAAAAAAGAAGGAGTAGAAGACTAAATAACGAAGAAGAAGGCAAAAAAAAGAAGGAGTAGAAGACTAAATAACAAAGAAGAAGGCAAAAAAAGAAGGAGTAGAAGACTAAATAACGAAGAAGAAGGCAAAAAAAGAAGGAGTAGAAGACTAAATAACGAAGAAGAAGGCAAAAAGAAGGAGTTGAAGACTAAATAACGAAGAAGAAGGCAAAAAAAAAGGAGTAGAAGACTAAATAACGAAGAAGAAGGCAAAAAAGACTAAATAACGAAGAAGAAGGCAAAAAAGAAGGAGTAGAAGACTAAATAACGAAGAAGAAGGCAAAAAAGAAGGAGTAGAAGACTAAAAAACGAAGAAGGAGGAAAAAATAAGGAGTAGAAGACTAAATAACGAAGAAGAAGGCAAAAAAAGAAGGAGTAGAAGACTAAATAACGAAGAAGAAGGCAAAAAAAGAAGGAGTAGAAGACTAAATAACGAAGAAGAAGGCAAAAAAGAAGGAGTAGAAGACTAAATAACGAAGAAGAAGGCAAAAAAAGAAGGAGTAGAAGACTAAATAACGAAGAAGAAGGCAAAAAAGAAGGAGTAGAAGACTAAATAACGAAGAAGAAGGCAAAAAGGAAGGAGTAGAAGACTAAATAATGAAGAAGAAGGCAAAAAAGAAGGAGTAGAAGACTAAATAACGAAGAAGAAGGCAAAAAAGAAGGAGTAGAAGACTAAATAACGAAGAAGAAGGCAAAAAAAAGGGAGTAGAAGACTAAATAACGAAGAAGAAGGCAAAAAAAGACTAAATAACGAAGAAGAAGTCAAAAAAGAAGGAGTAGAAGACTAAATAACGAAGAAGAAGGCAAAAAAGAAGGAGTAGAAGACTAAATAACGAAGAAGAAGGCAAAAAATAAGGAGTAGAAGACTAAATAACGAAGAAGAAGGCAAAAAAGAAGGTGTAGAAGACTAAATAACGAAGAAGAAGGCAAAAAGAAGGAGTAGAAGACTAAATAACAAAGAAGAAGGCAAAAAAGAAGGAGTAGAAGACTAAATAACGAAGAAGAAGGCAAAAAAGAAGGAGTAGAAGACTAAATAACGAAGAAGAAGGCAAAAAAGAAGGAGTAGAAGACTAAATAACGAAGAAGAAGGCAAAAAAGAAGGAGTAGAAGACTAAATAACGAAGAAGAAGGCAAAAAAGAAGAAGTAGAAGACTAAATAACGAAGAAGAAGGCAAAAAAGAAGGAGTAGAAGACTAAATAACGAAGAAGAAGGCAAAAAAGAAGGAGTAGAAGACTAAATAACGAAGAAGAAGGCAAAAAAAAAAAAAAGGGAGTAGAAGACTAAATAACAAAGAAGAAGGCAAAAAAGAAGGAGTAGAAGACTAAATAACGAAGAAGAAGGCAAAAAAGAAGGAGTAGAAGACTAAATAACGAAGAAGAAGGCAAAAAAGAAGGAGTAGAAGACTAAATAACGAAGAAGAAGGCAAAAAGAAGGAGTAGAAGACTAAATAACGAAGAAGAAGGCAAAAAAGAAGGAGTAGAAGACTAAATAACAAAGAAGAAGGCAAAAAAGAAGGAGTAGAAGACTAAATAACGAAGAAGAAGGCAAAAAAGAAGGAGTAGAAGACTAAATAACGAAGAAGAAGGCAAAAAAAGAAGGAGTAGAAGACTAAATAACGAAGAAGAAGGCAAAAAAAGAAGGAGTAGAAGACTAAATAACGAAGAAGAAGGCAAAAAGAAGAAGTAGAAGACTAAATAACGAAGAAGAAGGCAAAAAGAAGGAGTAGAAGACTAAATAACGAAGAAGAAGGCAAAAAAGAAGGAGTAGAAGACTAAATAACGAAGAAGAAGGCAAAAAATAAGGAGTAGAAGACTAAATAACGAAGAAGAAGGCAAAAAAGAAGGAGTAGAAGACTAAATAACAAAGAAGAAGGCAAAAAAGAAGGAGTAGAAGACTAAATAACGAAGAAGAAGGCAAAAAAGAAGGAGTAGAAGACTAAATAACGAAGAAGAAGGCAATAAAGAAGGAGTAGAAGACTAAATAACGAAGAAGAAGGCAAAAAAAAGAAGGAGTAGAAGACTAAATAACGAAGAAGAAGGCAAAAAAGAAGGAGTAGAAGACTAAATAACGAAGAAGAAGGCAAATAGGAAGGAGTAGAAGACTAAATAACGAAGAAGAAGGCAAAAAAAGGAGTAGAAGACTAAATAACGAAGAAGAAGGCAAAAAAGAAGGAGTAGAAGACTAAATAACGAAGAAGAAGGCAAAAAAAAAAGGGAGTAGAAGACTAAATAACGAAGAAGAAGGCAAAAAGAAGACTAAATAACGAAGAAGAAGTCAAAAAAGAAGGAGTAGAAGACTAAATAACGAAGAAGAAGGCAAAAAAGAAGGAGTAGAAGACTAAAAAACGAAGAAGGAGGAAAAAATAAGGAGTAGAAGACTAAATAACGAAGAAGAAGGCAAAAAAGAAGGAGTAGAAGACTAAATAACGAAGAAGAAGGCAAAAAAGAAGGAGTAGAAGACTAAATAACGAAGAAGAAGGCAAAAAAGAAGGAGTAGAAGACTAAATAACGAAGAAGAAGGCAAAAAGGAAGGAGTAGAAGACTAAATAATGAAGAAGAAGGCAAAAAAAGAAGGAGTAGAAGACTAAATAACGAAGAAGAAGGCAAAAAGAAGGAGTAGAAGACTAAATAACGAAGAAGAAGGCAAAAAAAAAAGGGAGTAGAAGACTAAATAACGAAGAAGAAGGCAAAAAAGACTAAATAACGAAGAAGAAGTCAAAAAAGAAGGAGTAGAAGACTAAATAACGAAGAAGAAGGCAAAAAAAGAAGGAGTAGAAGACTAAAAAACGAAGAAGGAGGAAAAAATAAGGAGTAGAAGACTAAATAACGAAGAAGAAGGCAAAAAGAAGGAGTAGAAGACTAAATAACAAAGAAGAAGGCAAAAAAGAAGGAGTAGAAGACTAAATAACGAAGAAGAAGGCAAAAAAGAAGGAGTAGAAGACTAAATAACGAAGAAGAAGGCAAAAAAGAAGGAGTAGAAGACTAAATAACGAAGAAGAAGGCAAAAAAGAAGGAGTAGAAGACTAAATAACGAAGAAGAAGGCAAAAAGAAGGAGTAGAAGACTAAATAACGAAGAAGAAGGCAAAAAAGAAGGAGTAGAAGACTAAATAACGAAGAAGAAGGCAAAAAGGAAGGAGTAGAAGACTAAATAATGAAGAAGAAGGCAAAAAAGAAGGAGTAGAAGACTAAATAACGAAGAAGAAGGCAAAAAAGAAGGAGTAGAAGACTAAATAACGAAGAAGAAGGCAAAAAGAAGGAGTAGAAGACTAAATAACAAAGAAGAAGGCAAAAAAGAAGGAGTAGAAGACTAAATAACAAAGAAGAAGGCAAAAAAGAAGGAGTAGAAGACTAAATAACGAAGAAGAAGGCAAAAAAAGAAGGAGTAGAAGACTAAATAACGAAGAAGAAGGCAAAAAAAGAAGGAGTAGAAGACTAAATAACGAAGAAGAAGGCAAAAAAAAAAAAAAGGAGTAGAAGACTATATAACGAAGAAGAAGGCAAAAAAGACTAAATAACGAAGAAGAAGTCAAAAAAGAAGGAGTAGAAGACTAAATAACGAAGAAGAAGGCAAAAAAAGAAGGAGTAGAAGACTAAAAAACGAAGAAGGAGGAAAAAAATAAGGAGTAGAAGACTAAATAACGAAGAAGAAGGCAAAAAAGAAGGAGTAGAAGACTAAATAACGAAGAAGAAGGCAAAAAAGAAGGAGTAGAAGACTAAATAACGAAGAAGAAGGCAAAAAAGAAGGAGTAGAAGACTAAATAACGAAGAAGAAGGCAAAAAAGAAGGAGTAGAAGACTGTTTGGGAACGAGACACCCTGTATTGGGTTTCGCGCTCTTTGTTTTGATCGCCGCTGCCGGCGGCCTTATCAGCGGTCGCTAAGCGAGCAGCGCATCGCTGCACATGCGCGCGAGCTTTTGCCCAGTAATTTTCCATTCATTTCTAACTCCTAACTGTAACTTGTTTACGTCTTCGACTAGCATAATCGAATGACGTGCATAGCCAAAGCTTAGTCAGTCACATTTTTGCTCTCAATGCAATCTAACGCAGCGCGGTCGACAATATTAAATGTAATTGTTCGGAAATAAATAAAATTATATTAAACAGTATACACTAAGGCGGATTCATTTATAAACATCCTAAAAACTGGTCCTTCGAGCCGGATTCGCCATTACTGTTTATTTTCGGCAAATTTATTTAATTATTGAGGTTTTCGTCAACGGTGATCTATAGATTTCAAAATCGTATAGAGTCGTTATCTTTTCGCGATCGCCATGCGGAGTGTGATTCAACAACGGGGCTTTTGTAAAAGCCAAATCACACGGGCGCATAATAATGCCCTAAAATTTGTGGATGACATTCAATCAGTGGACACAATTGTGGTGCGCCTGTCGCAAATCCAAGACAATTATTTGCGGTTTGTGCGACATTCGGAAGAGCTGTACGCCTTCCAATCGGAGTCGGATTGGGAGAATCCGGACGACGATTTTGATGCCTATGAGGAGAAACATTATGCTACACACGCCATTCTCAGCAACACTCTGGAGGAGTTACGGCGTGATCAGACGTCTAACAATATTTTGGCCACTGTGCAACCAGCAGATGCGCCCCAGAGGAGCCATGTGGATTTCCAGTTCGAGCGAATCAAACTCCCAACCTTTGCCGGGAATTATGAGGACTGGAAACATTTTTCGGACTCGATTGCTTCTCGACTCGATTGCTTCCAATTCGAGCCTGACGGATTGTCAACGATTTCATTATCTCAAATCGTATCTATCCGGAGACGCCCTCAATTTAGTCAAACATATTCCTGTGACTAATGAGAACTATCGGGAGGCATGGGATCGGCTTGAGCAGCGATATAACAAACAATCGCTAATTATCCGATCATTCCTCAACAGTTTCATGACCCTTCCCAGTGCTACGTCTACTAATCTCAGCACAGTGCGGAAACTGGCCGATGGCGCAGACGAAGTTATTCGTGGTTTGCGAGCCCTTGACTGCGAAGAGAGGGATCCTTGGCTAATCTTCATCCTATTGTCAAAATTAGATACCGATACTTGCCAAGCTTGGGCGCAGTGCGCAGACTCCGAGGGAAAAGGTGTGACCATCAACCAATTCCTTAAATTTCTCACCTCTCGCTGCGATACTTTGGAGGCTTTTCACTTAATTCGACCAACCCAAGCTCGACGCGCAGCCACAACGCACCACGCAGATACGCATCCTAGACGAGAAGAACCCAAATGCACATCGTGCCAGCAAACTCATCAACTGTTCAAGTGTCCTCAGTTCAACGGACTCGACATCGCAGCTCGCCGGGAGTTTCTCAAGACGAAAAAGCTATGTTTCAATTGCCTCAGCCCAAGTCACATGGCGGGTAACTGTACATCGAGACACACTTGTCGGATTTGTCGCCGCAAGCACACACATAAGGAGTAGAAGACTAAATAACGAAGAAGAAGGCAAAAAAGAAGGAGTAGAAGACTAAATAACAAAGAAGAAGGCAAAAAAGAAGGAGTAGAAGACTAAATAACGAAGAAGAAGGCAAAAAAGAAGGAGTAGAAGACTAAATAACGAAGAAGAAGGCAAAAAAGAAGGAGTAGAAGACTAAATAACGAAGAAGAAGGCAAAAAAGAAGGAGTAGAAGACTAAATAACAAAGAAGAAGGCAAAAAAGAAGGAGTAGAAGACTAAATAACGAAGAAGAAGGCAAAAAAAGAAGGAGTAGAAGACTAAATAACGAAGAAGAAGGCAAAAAGAAGGAGTAGAAGACTAAATAACGAAGAAGAAGGCAAAAAAGAAGGAGTAGAAGACTAAATAACGAAGAAGAAGGCAAAAAAGAAGAAGTAGAAGACTAAATAACGAAGAAGAAGGCAAAAAAGAAGGAGTAGAAGACTAAATAACGAAGAAGAAGGCAAAAAAAGAAGGAGTAGAAGACTAAATAACGAAGAAGAAGGCAAAAAATAAGGAGTAGAAGACTAAATAACGAAGAAGAAGGCAAAAAAGAAGGAGTAGAAGACTAAATAACAAAGAAGAAGGCAAAAAAGAAGGAGTAGAAGACTAAATAACGAAGAAGAAGGCAAAAAAGAAGGAGTAGAAGACTAAATAACGAAGAAGAAGGCAATAAAGAAGGAGTAGAAGACTAAATAACGAAGAAGAAGGCAAAAAAGAAGGAGTAGAAGACTAAATAACGAAGAAGAAGGCAAAAAAGAAGGAGTAGAAGACTAAATAACGAAGAAGAAGGCAAAAAGGAAGGAGTAGAAGACTAAATAACGAAGAAGAAGGCAAAAAAAGGAGTAGAAGACTAAATAACGAAGAAGAAGGCAAAAAAGAAGGAGTAGAAGACTAAATAACGAAGAAGAAGGCAAAAAAAAAAGGAGTAGAAGACTAAATAACGAAGAAGAAGGCAAAAAAGACTAAATAACGAAGAAGAAGGCAAAAAAGAAGGAGTAGAAGACTAAATAACGAAGAAGAAGGCAAAAAAGAAGGAGTAGAAGACTAAAAACGAAGAAGGAGGAAAAAATAAGGAGTAGAAGACTAAATAACGAAGAAGAAGGCAAAAAAAGAAGGAGTAGAAGACTAAATAACGAAGAAGAAGGCAAAAAAGAAGGAGTAGAAGACTAAATAACGAAGAAGAAGGCAAAAAAGAAGGAGTAGAAGACTAAATAACGAAGAAGAAGGCAAAAAGGAAGGAGTAGAAGACTAAATAATGAAGAAGAAGGCAAAAAAGAAGGAGTAGAAGACTAAATAACGAAGAAGAAGGCAAAAAAGAAGGAGTAGAAGACTAAATAACGAAGAAGAAGGCAAAAAAAAAAGGGAGTAGAAGACTAAATAACGAAGAAGAAGGCAAGAAGAAAAAGACTAAATAACGAAGAAGAAGTCAAAAAAGAAGGAGTAGAAGACTAAATAACGAAGAAGAAGGCAAAAAAGAAGGAGTAGAAGACTAAAAAACGAAGAAGGAGGAAAAAATAAGGAGTAGAAGACTAAATAACGAAGAAGAAGGCAAAAAGAAGGAGTAGAAGACTAAATAACAAAGAAGAAGGCAAAAAGAAGGAGTAGAAGACTAAATAACGAAGAAGAAGGCAAAAAAGAAGGAGTAGAAGACTAAATAACGAAGAAGAAGGCAAAAAGAAGGAGTAGAAGACTAAATAACGAAGAAGAAGGCAAAAAAGAAGGAGTAGAAGACTAAATAACGAAGAAGAAGGCAAAAAAGAAGGAGTAGAAGACTAAATAACGAAGAAGAAGGCAAAAAAGAAGGAGTAGAAGACTAAATAACGAAGAAGAAGGCAAAAAGGAAGGAGTAGAAGACTAAATAATGAAGAAGAAGGCAAAAAAGAAGGAGTAGAAGACTAAATAACGAAGAAGAAGGCAAAAAAAGAAGGAGTAGAAGACTAAATAACGAAGAAGAAGGCAAAAAAAGAAGGAGTAGAAGACTAAATAACAAAGAAGAAGGCAAAAAAGAAGGAGTAGAAGACTAAATAACAAAGAAGAAGGCAAAAAAGAAGGAGTAGAAGACTAAATAACGAAGAAGAAGGCAAAAAGAAGGAGTAGAAGACTAAATAACGAAGAAGAAGGCAAAAAAGAAGGAGTAGAAGACTAAATAACGAAGAAGAAGGCAAAAAAAAAAAAAAGGAGTAGAAGACTATATAACGAAGAAGAAGGCAAAAAAAAGACTAAATAACGAAGAAGAAGTCAAAAAAGAAGGAGTAGAAGACTAAATAACGAAGAAGAAGGCAAAAAAGAAGGAGTAGAAGACTAAAAAACGAAGAAGGAGGAAAAAATAAGGAGTAGAAGACTAAATAACGAAGAAGAAGGCAAAAAAAGAAGGAGTAGAAGACTAAATAACGAAGAAGAAGGCAAAAAAAGAAGGAGTAGAAGACTAAATAACGAAGAAGAAGGCAAAAAAGAAGGAGTAGAAGACTAAATAACGAAGAAGAAGGCAAAAAAGAAGGAGTAGAAGACTGTTTGGGAACGAGACACCCTGTATTGGGTTTCGCGCTCTTTGTTTTGATCGCCGCTGCCGGCGGCCTTATCAGCGGTCGCTAAGCGAGCAGCGCATCGCTGCACATGCGCGCGAGCTTTTGCCCAGTAATTTTCCATTCATTTCTAACTCCTAACTGTAACTTGTTTACGTCTTCGACTAGCATAATCGAATGACGTGCATAGCCAAAGCTTAGTCAGTCACATTTTTGCTCTCAATGCAATCTAACGCAGCGCGGTCGACAATATTAAATGTAATTGTTCGGAAATAAATAAAATTATATTAAACAGTATACACTAAGGCGGATTCATTTATAAACATCCTAAAAACTGGTCCTTCGAGCCGGATTCGCCATTACTGTTTATTTTCGGCAAATTTATTTAATTATTGAGGTTTTCGTCAACGGTGATCTATAGATTTCAAAATCGTATAGAGTCGTTATCTTTTCGCGATCGCCATGCGGAGTGTGATTCAACAACGGGGCTTTTGTAAAAGCCAAATCACACGGGCGCATAATAATGCCCTAAAATTTGTGGATGACATTCAATCAGTGGACACAATTGTGGTGCGCCTGTCGCAAATCCAAGACAATTATTTGCGGTTTGTGCGACATTCGGAAGAGCTGTACGCCTTCCAATCGGAGTCGGATTGGGAGAATCCGGACGACGATTTTGATGCCTATGAGGAGAAACATTATGCTACACACGCCATTCTCAGCAACACTCTGGAGGAGTTACGGCGTGATCAGACGTCTAACAATATTTTGGCCACTGTGCAACCAGCAGATGCGCCCCAGAGGAGCCATGTGGATTTCCAGTTCGAGCGAATCAAACTCCCAACCTTTGCCGGGAATTATGAGGACTGGAAACATTTTTCGGATATGTTTACGGACTCGATTGCTTCCAATTCGAGCCTGACGGATTGTCAACGATTTCATTATCTCAAATCGTATCTATCCGGAGACGCCCTCAATTTAGTCAAACATATTCCTGTGACTAATGAGAACTATCGGGAGGCATGGGATCGGCTTGAGCAGCGATATAACAAACAATCGCTAATTATCCGATCATTCCTCAACAGTTTCATGACCCTTCCCAGTGCTACGTCTACTAATCTCAGCACAGTGCGGAAACTGGCCGATGGCGCAGACGAAGTTATTCGTGGTTTGCGAGCCCTTGACTGCGAAGAGAGGGATCCTTGGCTAATCTTCATCCTATTGTCAAAATTAGATACCGATACTTGCCAAGCTTGGGCGCAGTGCGCAGACTCCGAGGGAAAAGGTGTGACCATCAACCAATTCCTTAAATTTCTCACCTCTCGCTGCGATACTTTGGAGGCTTTTCACTTAATTCGACCAACCCAAGCTCGACGCGCAGCCACAACGCACCACGCAGATACGCATCCTAGACGAGAAGAACCCAAATGCACATCGTGCCAGCAAACTCATCAACTGTTCAAGTGTCCTCAGTTCAACGGACTCGACATCGCAGCTCGCCGGGAGTTTCTCAAGACGAAAAAGCTATGTTTCAATTGCCTCAGCCCAAGTCACATGGCGGGTAACTGTACATCGAGACACACTTGTCGGATTTGTCGCCGCAAGCATCACACCCTGGTTCACCCTGGCTCGGCGCAGCCAACTCAAAACGGTAACTACTTGGAGAGAGCCCGTATGGACAGCCGCGATCGTCCATCAACCTCACAAGCGGCGTCTACAATCGGCCAGAATCAACCGCCTGGTCAAGAGATTCATCAATCAGGGAGTTTACCTCCCGCGGAAAATAACTTCACGCATCATACGCTGGAGAACATTTCAGCTGCAGGTTCGCAGACTCTGTTGCCAACCATCCTTGCAGACGTCTTCGACGCCTGGGGAAATACTACAACCTGCAGGCTGCTCTTGGACACTGGGTCCACAATCACCTTGGCGTCGGAATCATTTGTTCAGCGAATAGGCGTACGTCGAACGCACGCCCGGATTTCTGTACTCGGTCTCGCAGCCAACAGCGCTGGCGTTACCCGAGGACGCGCACATATCAAGCTGCGCTCTCGTCATTCGGACCAAACTGTCGAACTGGTCTCGTTTATTCTCAATTCGCTGACATCATCACTCCCGGCCCAGGCTATTGACACCTCATCTTCTACGTGGAAGCAAATCTGCGAGCTTCCTTTGGCAGATCCCACATTCTGCACGCCAGGATCCATCGATGTCATCGTTGGATCAGATCAACTCTGGTCTCTTTATACTGGAGAACAGAAATGCTTTGGTAACGACGCTCCTATCGCTCTGAATACTGTTTTTGGTTGGATTATTGCAGGCTCTTACAATGCATGCGATGATCACCTGACTTCAGCGGTTACTCATCACGCGGACCTCGACACGATGGTTCGCTCTTTCATGGAGATGGATAATATACATCCTAGCCAGGCTCTTTTGGACGCCAACGATCCAACAGAGCGTCATTTTGCTGCCACCCACACGCGCTTGGAGAACGGGGCTTACGTCGTCGAGTACCCCTTCAAGGAGCATGCGCCGCCTGTTGATTCAACTTTACCGCAGGCCATCAATCGCTTCCACTCGCTGGAACGCAAGTTTCGTCGATCTCCAGACTTGAAGCAGCAGTATGAAGCATTTCTGGACGACTACTTGCGACGTGGTCATATGGAACAGCTGACATCGGCTCAAATGGATGAGTCCCCAGAAACCTGCTTCTATCTGCCGCACCACGCTGTCATCAAACTGGACAGTCTGACTACGAAATGTCGCGTAGTTTTCGATGGATCGGGAAAGGACAGCTCTGGAGTGTCTCTCAATGATCGACTTCAAATTGGCCCACCCATTCAACGCGATCTTCTCGGCGTTTGTTTACGTTTCCGGCAGCACCCATATGTTTTCTGCGCGGATATCGAGAAGATGTTCCGAGGAATTCAAGTCTTCAAGCCGCACACCAATTATCAGCGCATTGTTTGGCGCAAGAACGAGAATGAACCACTGCTTCATTTTCGCCTGTTGACGGTCACCTACGGATTGGCGCCGTCACCATTTCTGGCTGTTCGAGTTCTTAAGCAACTAGCTGAGGATCACCGCCACGAGTTCCCCGCAGCAGCCCACGCGCTTCTACACGACGCTTATGTAGATGATATCCCAACAGGGTGCAACTCATTCGACGAGCTCATGATTCTCAAAAACGAGCTGATTCAACTGTTGGATAAGGCGCAATTCAAACTACGGAAATGGAGTTCCAACAGTTGGCGTCTTCTAAAATCATTGCCAGAAGAGGACCGATGTTATGAGCCTATCCAGCTCCTCAACAAATCAGCTGCGGATTCACCAATCAAAATTCTTGGCATCCAATGGAATCCCGGAAAGGACGTCATGTACCTCAATATCAAGGAGTGCGATCCGACCATTTCTCCGACGAAAAGGGAACTCTTGTCGCAGCTATCAAGAATCTATGACCCGCTTGGATTGGTAGCGCCAGTCACAGTTCTACTCAAGCTTATCTTCCAAGAAAGCTGGACAAGTGTTCTGCAATGGGATGACCCGATTCCTGAAACTCTACGCTCGCGCTGGAAGGCCTTGGTGGAGGATTTGCCAACACTTACGCAATGTCAAGTACCACGATACATTGCGTCACCATTCCAAGACGTTCAACTACACGGATTCGCCGACGCATCCGCGCAAGCCTACGGTGCGGTTGTATACGCTCGAGTAGCATATGGAGGCAGTTTTCAAATAACCCTAGTTGCTGCCAAAACCCGTGTAGCCCCGATCAAGCCTGTTTCGATCCCACGTTTGGAACTGAATGCTGCTCTACTTCTTTCTCGATTGCTCTCGATTGTCAAAGCCTCACTAACGATTCCTATTTTCAGCACGAGCTGCTGGACAGATTCAGAAATTGTGCTACACTGGCTTTCAGCTCCCCCACGAAACTGGAACACATACGTCTGCAACCGAACGGCTGAGATCTTGAACGACTTTCCTCGCAGCTGCTGGAATCATGTTCGCACAGAGGACAACCCTGCCGACTGTGCTTCTCGAGGACTTCATCCGTCCAAGCTTCTGGAGCATCGACTGTGGTGGAAGGGTCCATCATGGCTGGCCACACCGCCCTCTGATTGGCCACCGTCTACAAGCAAGTTCAGCGTATCTTCAAATCTCGATGTCAACACCGAAGAGAGAGCTGTCAAGCCCACAACTCTACATAACTTTCCTGATGAAAGTATCTACGAGTTACTCATCCACAAATTCTCAACCTGGACGCGTCTGCTAAGGGTATCTAGCTACTGTTATCGCTTTATTCACTCTCTTCGATCTCGTCATAGGAATCCGGCACCATTCCTTACATCCGAAGAGTTGCAGGCCGCACGATGCCGACTCATCCGACACGTGCAACAAAATTTCTTTGCCAGAGAATATGCGCAGCTAGAGAATCGACGCCCGCTTAATGCTAAATCGCATTTAATTCGGTTCTCCCCATTTCTGGACGATCATGGAATTATGCGAGTCGGTGGAAGAATCGACAAATCGACAATCAACTTCAACGCCAAGCATCCAATCCTAATACCAAAGGATTCACCACTAGCTGGGCTCCTGGTTCGACATTTTCACGTTTCACATCTACACACTGGAGTTGATGCTACGTTCACCAATCTTCGTCAGCAGTACTGGATTCTGGGTGCACGCAATCTGGTCAGAAAGGCAGTTTTCCAATGCAAACGCTGCTTTCTTCAACGCAAAGGCACCAGTAACCAGATCATGGGAGAGCTGCCAATCCCTCGAGTTCAGGCTAGTCGCTGTTTCCAACATACAGGGCTGGATTACGCTGGACCGATCGCCATCAAGGAATCAACAGGACGAACTCCTCGGATCGGAAAGGCATGGTTTTCTATTTTTGTCTGCCTAACTACAAAGGCAATCCATATCGAGGTCGTCAGTGATCTGACTGCAAAGGCCTTCATCGCCGCCTTTCAACGATTTATTGCCCGACGAACAAAGCCCACCGATCTGTACTCGGACAACGGAACCACATTTCATGGCGGAAGGCAAACTTTGGACGACATGCGACGCCTAGTCATCGAACAATCAAAAGATGAGGAACTGGCTGGATTCTTCGCCAACGAAGGCATTTCTTGGCACTTCATACCCCCATCTGCCCCTCATTTTGGCGGAATGTGGGAAGCCGGCGTTCGTTCCATAAAACTTCATATGCGACGGATACTTGGATCCAAGGCTCTCACGTTTGAGGAACTAGCGACTGTTTTGACCCAAATTGAAGCCATCCTCAACTCTCGCCCACTGTGCCCAAATGGGGATAATTCGTTGGACCCGCTGACTCCCGCTCATTTCCTGACTGGAGCTCCTTATACTGCCCTCTCTGAACCCTGCCGTCTGGATATGCAAATCAATCGACTGGAGAGGTGGAATCAGCTGCAAGCTATGGTCCAAGGTTTCTGGAAACGGTGGCATATGGAATACCTGACATCGCTTCACGAACGCACAAAATGGCATCTAGAAACTGAGAATCTGAAGATCGACACACTGGTGGTACTCAAGGAGCCTAATCTACCTCCCTCTAAATGGATTCTTGGACGCATCAGCGAGGTGCACGCAGGATCAGATGACAAAGTACGGGTCGTAACAGTAAAGACGGCCCATGGATTCTACAAACGCCCAATTACCAAAATTGCTGTCTTGCCTCTGTGCTGAACGACCGTTCAGGGGGGCCGGTATGTTTGGGAACGAGACACCCTGTATTGGGTTTCGCGCTCTTTGTTTTGATCGCCGCTGCCGGCGGCCTTATCAGCGGTCGCTAAGCGAGCAGCGCATCGCTGCACATGCGCGCGAGCTTTTGCCCAGTAATTTTCCATTCATTTCTAACTCCTAACTGTAACTTGTTTACGTCTTCGACTAGCATAATCGAATGACGTGCATAGCCAAAGCTTAGTCAGTCACATTTTTGCTCTCAATGCAATCTAACGCAGCGCGGTCGACAATATTAAATGTAATTGTTCGGAAATAAATAAAATTATATTAAACAGTATACACTAAGGCGGATTCATTTATAAACAAAGACTAAATAACGAAGAAGAAGGCAAAAAAGAAGGAGTAGAAGACTAAATAACGAAGAAGAAGGCAAAAAGGAAGGAGTAGAAGACTAAATAATGAAGAAGAAGGCAAAAAAGAAGGAGTAGAAGACTAAATAACGAAGAAGAAGGCAAAAAAGAAGGAGTAGAAGACTAAATAACAAAGAAGAAGGCAAAAAAAAGAAGGAGTAGAAGACTAAATAACGAAGAAGAAGGCAAAAAAGAAGGAGTAGAAGACTAAATAACGAAGAAGAAGGCAAAAAAGAAGGAGTAGAAGACTAAATAACGAAGAAGAAGGCAAAAAAGAAGGAGTAGAAGACTAAATAACGAAGAAGAAGGCAAAAAAAGAAGGAGTAGAAGACTAAATAACGAAGAAGAAGGCAAAAAAAGAAGGAGTAGAAGACTAAATAACGAAGAAGAAGGCAAAAAAAGAAGGAGTAGAAGACTAAATAACGAAGAAGAAGGCAAAAAAAGAAGGAGTAGAAGACTAAATAACGAAGAAGAAGGCAAAAAAGAAGGAGTAGAAGACTAAATAACGAAGAAGAAGGCAAAAAAAGAAGGAGTAGAAGACTAAATAACGAAGAAGAAGGCAAAAAAGAAGGAGTAGAAGACTAAATAACGAAGAAGAAGGCAAAAAAGAAGGAGTAGAAGACTAAATAACAAAGAAGAAGGCAAAAAAAAAGGAGTAGAAGACTAAATAACGAAGAAGAAGGCAAAAAAGAAGGAGTAGAAGACTAAATAACGAAGAAGAAGGCAAAAAAGAAGGAGTAGAAGACTAAATAACGAAGAAGAAGGCAAAAAAAAAAAAGGAGTAGAAGACTAAATAACGAAGAAGAAGGCAAAAAAAAGGAGGAGAAGACTAAATAACGAAGAAGAAGGCAAAAAAGAAGGAGTAGAAGACTAAATAACGAAGAAGAAGGCAAAAAAGAAGGAGTAGAAGACTAAATAACGAAGAAGGAGGCAAAAAAGAAGGAGTAGAAGACTAAATAACGAAGAAGAAGGCAAAAAAGAAGGAGTAGAAGACTAAATAACGAAGAAGAAGGCAAAAAAGAAGGAGTAGAAGACTAAATAACGAAGAAGAAGGCAAAAAAAGAAGGAGTAGAAGACTAAATAACGAAGAAGAAGGCAAAAAAGAAGGAGTAGAAGACTAAATAACGAAGAAGAAGGCAAAAAAAGAAGGAGTAGAAGACTAAATAACGAAGAAGAAGGCAAAAAAGAAGGAGTAGAAGACTAAATAACGAAGAAGAAGGCAAAAAGGAAGGAGTAGAAGACTAAATAATGAAGAAGAAGGCAAAAAAGAAGGAGTAGAAGACTAAATAACGAAGAAGAAGGCAAAAAAGAAGGAGTAGAAGACTAAATAACGAAGAAGAAGGCAAAAAAGAAGGAGTAGAAGACTAAATAACGAAGAAGAAGGCAAAAAAAGAAGGAGTAGAAGACTAAATAACGAAGAAGAAGGCAAAAAGAAGGAGTAGAAGACTAAATAACGAAGAAGAAGGCAAAAAAGAAGGAGTAGAAGACTAAATAACGAAGAAGAAGGCAAAAAAAAAAGGAGTAGAAGACTAAATAACGAAGAAGAAGGCAAAAAGAAGGAAAAAGACTAAATAACGAAGAAGAAGGCAAAAAGAAGGAGTAGAAGACTAAATAACGAAGAAGAAGGCAAAAAAGAAGGAGTAGAAGACTAAATAACGAAGAAGGAGGCAAAAAAGAAGGAGTAGAAGACTAAATAACGAAGAAGAAGGCAAAAAAAGAAGGAGTAGAAGACTAAATAACGAAGAAGAAGGCAAAAAAGAAGGAGTAGAAGACTAAATAACGAAGAAGAAGGCAAAAAAGAAGGAGTAGAAGACTAAATAACGAAGAAGAAGGCAAAAAAAGAAGGAGTAGAAGACTAAATAACGAAGAAGAAGGCAAAAAAGAAGGAGTAGAAGACTAAATAACGAAGAAGAAGGCAAAAAAAGAAGGAGTAGAAGACTAAATAACGAAGAAGAAGGCAAAAAAGAAGGAGTAGAAGACTAAATAACGAAGAAGAAGGCAAAAAAGAAGGAGTAGAAGACTAAATAACGAAGAAGAAGGCAAAAAAGAAGGAGTAGAAGACTAAATAACGAAGAAGAAGGCAAAAAAGAAGGAGTAGAAGACTAAATAACGAAGAAGAAGGCAAAAAAAGAAGGAGTAGAAGACTAAATAACGAAGAAGAAGGCAAAAAAAGAAGGAGTAGAAGACTAAATAACGAAGAAGAAGGCAAAAAAGAAGGAGTAGAAGACTAAATAACGAAGAAGAAGGCAAAAAAAGAAGGAGTAGAAGACTAAATAACGAAGAAGAAGGCAAAAAAGAAGGAGTAGAAGACTAAATAACGAAGAAGAAGGCAAAAAAGAAGGAGTAGAAGACTAAATAACGAAGAAGAAGGCAAAAAAGAAGGAGTAGAAGACTAAATAACGAAGAAGAAGGCAAAAAAGAAGGAGTAGAAGACTAAATAACGAAGAAGAAGGCAAAAAAGAAGGAGTAGAAGACTAAATAATGAAGAAGAAGGCAAAAAAGAAGGAGTAGAAGACTAAATAACGAAGAAGAAGGCAAAAAAGAAGGAGTAGAAGACTAAATAACGAAGAAGAAGGCAAAAAAAGAAGGAGTAGAAGACTAAATAACGAAGAAGAAGGCAAAAAGGAGGAGGAGGAAGACTAAATAACGAAGAAGAAGGCAAAAAAGAAGGAGTAGAAGACTAAATAACGAAGAAGAAGGCAAAAAGAAGGAGTAGAAGACTAAATAATGAAGAAGAAGGCAAAAAAGAAGGAGTAGAAGACTAAATAACGAAGAAGAAGGCAAAAAAGAAGGAGTAGAAGACTAAATAACGAAGAAGAAGGCAAAAAAGAAGGAGTAGAAGACTAAATAACGAAGAAGAAGGCAAAAAAGAAGGAGTAGAAGACTAAATAACGAAGAAGAAGGCAAAAAAGAAGGAGTAGAAGACTAAATAACGAAGAAGAAGGCAAAAAAGAAGGAGTAGAAGACTAAATAACGAAGAAGAAGGCAAAAAAGAAGGAGTAGAAGACTAAATAACGAAGAAGAAGGCAAAAAAGAAGGAGTAGAAGACTAAATAACGAAGAAGAAGGCAAAAAAGAAGGAGTAGAAGACTAAATAACGAAGAAGAAGGCAAAAAAGAAGGAGTAGAAGACTAAATAACGAAGAAGAAGGCAAAAAAGAAGGAGTAGAAGACTAAATAACGAAGAAGAAGGCAAAAAAAGAAGGAGTAGAAGACTAAATAACGAAGAAGAAGGCAAAAAAGAAGGAGTAGAAGACTAAATAACGAAGAAGAAGGCAAAAAAGAAGGAGTAGAAGACTAAATAACGAAGAAGAAGGCAAAAAAGAAGGAGTAGAAGACTAAATAACGAAGAAGAAGGCAAAAAAGAAGGAGTAGAAGACTAAATAACGAAGAAGAAGGCAAAAAAGAAGGAGTAGAAGACTAAATAACGAAGAAGAAGGCAAAAAGAAGGAGTAGAAGACTAAATAACGAAGAAGAAGGCAAAAAAGAAGGAGTAGAAGACTAAATAACGAAGAAGAAGGCAAAAAAGAAGGAGTAGAAGACTAAATAACGAAGAAGAAGGCAAAAAAAGAAGGAGTAGAAGACTAAATAACGAAGAAGAAGGCCAAAAAGAAGGAGAGAAGACTAAATAACGAAGAAGAAGGCAAAAAAGAAGGAGTAGAAGACTAAATAACGAAGAAGAAGGCAAAAAAGAAGGAGTAGAAGACTAAATAACGAAGAAGGAGGAAAAAAGAAGGAGTAGAAGACTAAATAACGAAGAAGAAGGCAAAAAAGAAGGAGTAGAAGACTAAATAACGAAGAAGAAGGCAAAAAAGAAGGAGTAGAAGACTAAATAACGAAGAAGAAGGCAAAAAAGAAGGAGTAGAAGACTAAATAACGAAGAAGAAGGCAAAAAAGAAGGAGTAGAAGACTAAATAACGAAGAAGAAGGCAAAAAAGAAGGAGTAGAAGACTAAATAACGAAGAAGAAGGCAAAAAAGAAGGAGTAGAAGACTAAATAATGAAGAAGAAGGCAAAAAAGAAGGAGTAGAAGACTAAATAACGAAGAAGAAGGCAAAAAAAGAAGGAGTAGAAGACTAAATAACGAAGAAGAAGGCAAAAAGAAGGAGTAGAAGACTAAATAACGAAGAAGAAGGCAAAAAGAAGGAGTAGAAGACTAAATAACGAAGAAGAAGGCAAAAAAGAAGGAGTAGAAGACTAAATAACGAAGAAGAAGGCAAAAAAGAAGGAGTAGAAGACTAAATAACGAAGAAGAAGGCAAAAAAGAAGGAGTAGAAGACTAAATAACGAAGAAGAAGGCAAAAAAAAAAAAGGAGTAGAAGACTAAATAACGAAGAAGAAGGCAAAAAAGAAGGGGGAGAAGACTAAATAACGAAGAAGAAGGCAAAAAAGAAGGAGTAGAAGACTAAATAACGAAGAAGAAGGCAAAAAAGAAGGAGTAGAAGACTAAAAAACGAAGAAGAAGGCAAAAAAGAAGGAGTAGAAGACTAAATAACGAAGAAGAAGGCAAAAAAAGAAGGAGTAGAAGACTAAATAACGAAGAAGAAGGCAAAAAAGAAGGAGTAGAAGACTAAATAACGAAGAAGAAGGCAAAAA